TAGTACTAATACTACTACCTATACTAGTACTAATACTAGTGCGAATAAAAGAACTAAGACTAGCACCACCACTACTAATACCAATACTAATACTAATAATAATCCTAGTACTAATTCTAGTACTAGATTACAAATCTAATATTAATACTAATGCTCGTACTAATACTAGTACACTAGTACCAATACTAATTCTAGTACCAATACAAATACTAATAGGTTTAGGGTTTAGGGTATAGAGTTTAGGAAACGGCCAAACGAAATCCAAGCATAGAACTTCCCAAAAACAACCGAAAAACAAAAATCAAACGAAAGAATCGGAAACAAAAGTACACCTCCGAAGCCTAATCATATTGCCACTGTGAATGACTCCGGCCAAAGCCTCCAAGCAAGTCCAGGCAAAGGGCAAGGAAAGAACCACCACAAGTCAACCCCTCGAACAACCTGCTTCAACCCTACTACCATGCAACCAACAAAGACAAAGAATGCTCAAAAAGCAAGTTGCACGGCCAGATACGTGAAAGAGATGTAGAAGACGAACACCATGACCCACATAGGAGAGATAAGCTTCAGTGGCACAATTACCTCTTCCCAACTCACGCCCCCAACAATTGACATAAACAGGCTCAACATTGTGTTGGAAAGATCGCCGAAATACTTCTCGGTGGCAATGTCTAGCTGCTCTCTGTCATCAACCGGCACGCCGTCGAGGCGATAATCGTTAATCGCCTGCGCAAAGAGTATAGCAAAAACATACACAATAAGCGTCAACAGCATCAGAGCCCAAAATAGCGATTTCATCGTTGAGAAAATTGAGGTGATGAGTGTTCTCAGCGCCAGCACAAAGCGGAAGAGGCGGATCACCCGAACGGTCTTCAGAATCCGCGTGAGGCGGATGATCCTAGCAGCTTTGAGACTGGAGATCCCGTTTATGCTGCCCACATCGCTCTCAACCACTTCCTGCAGAATACCCGCAATGACTTCCCAAAGCGAAGTCATCACAATAAATATGTCCAGCAAGCTCCACATCCAATCGTCCGAAAAGAGGAAACCCTTTCCGTGTGCCACGACACGCAAAAGTAGCTCCGCCGCGAACAAAAAAGCGTACAGGTACTGTATAATGCGCAAGCTGAGCAACTGGTCACCTGCACCGCTTGTCAAGGTTAATTGGAGGTCGATGCCGAGAAAGGCCGCATTCGTTAGCACAACTACGCCGAAGAAGATGTCGAAGCCCGGATGCTCAACAAGGTGTTTTACAGTCGGACGGCAAGATTTTGGTTGATCGCCTTGCACTTGCTTCGTAATTTCTGCAAACTGCTTTCGCGAAACCGTGCCGGACTGCGTGTCGGCCCCTTCCCTGAGCTGCATGTCAAAGCTCGTGTAGGTGCAGAGTGTCTTGTAGGGATCCGAACTGCTGTTGCGACTCTCTGTAGCATCCTGTGCACTGGATTGTGATGAACCATCGCGCCTTCCGGATGACATTGAAGGGACTGACCCCACACCCTGCGGGTCAAACAAGACGGGCATGGATGGCACCAGTGGATGTGCTTTCCGTAACAGAGAATGCTGCTCCTCCAGCTTTTGCATGACTTCTTTGTGCAGTCGACTGACCAATATCTCCAGCGCAGCATGTCCAGAATCCTTTGAAGAATCAACGTCACTTGCGCCACGGGAAGACATCATCGCATCCTTGCCAGCATATGAATATCACGTATGTAGTGAAAGCTTCAGGTTGATTCAAGCATGAAACAGCTCACGTGGAGTGCCTATCGTCCCGAAACAATGCAACAAGTAGAGCACCAGAGCCCCCCTGCCCTCACGCCCTTCGTGCAATGTGGCTTAGGGCTTAGGGTTCAGGGTTTGGGGTTCAGTTTAGGGTTCCCTGCAGTTCCTACTGTGTCAAACATTGGTATGAATGCAAGAAGTACAGCTACCATCGTCACCACCACGCCTCTTTCACTCCCCTCGCCGGAGGAAGCGTGATGCTGTGCGGACTGTGTGGGGGATATAACGCCATGGCATCAAAACCAAAAAACGTGTGAGTCAAGCTGCTGCGATGGCTCAATAAAGGTCTTCTGAGGCTAAGACAAAGACTTGCAGCGGGCGATAACCCAGACTGCATTCAGCATACAGACCTAGGCATGCAGCAACCTGTTGAACCGTATCGCGGATGAATGGCAACTCATCGGAAAATCAAAATCTCAATGCCACGTACGGACTCAGCGATCTGCGCTGTGGGCCCAACGCATCTGACCAAGGCCTTCCAGCTTTTCGCCGGGCTTGGTGATAGCGAACAGCAAGCTGCCGTAAAAGCAATGCTGTGACCTGAACTTGGGTCCGGTCGGGGAAACTGTCTCGATGAGCTTGGAACGAGAGCCATGCAACATCGACCGAGATCAGGAAGCCGAAATGTGCCCAGGGTGATATCTCCGGCTCGGCAGCTATGCATTATCTTCAACTTGAGGATCTGCATGGGTTCGGAAGCATAGGTCCAAGCCTGCTCAAGCTTCTGGAGAAACAGCAACAGCAGAGGAGGATGATGGCCTGGCGCAGTAAAGTTTCGGCCTGCAGCCTGCTCCTTGCTCGGACATGTTCTGATGTTCTGAGAGGCGAGCAAGTGTCCCCTGCATAAGGCGAGATGCCGTTTCTGAGGAAGAAGAGGCCCTCCTTCAACCTCGCGATCCCCTCACTCAAAATTCTTCAGAAGCTGAAAGTCCAACAAGCGGCAGGCCTGACATGGGATGTTATCGGGCTGTTGACTTCCAAATGCTCTTCCAACATTTGCGAAGCATTGGCCTCACGTTGTTCAGAGCAACATGGATGCTCATGAATGTATGCTTCGCCAAACGTGCTGGAAGCGCTCGATGCATCACTTTATGCAGGTGGGTTGGATGGAGTGGAGGACGAGGACAAACAACGAGTCTGCGTCAACAAGTGCTTAAGGCCTGAGACCTGAAATCTGGAATATTTTGGTTATCACTGGACATCTTTCTTCTCCTCCCCTCAATCCGTCATCCTTTTGTTGATCATTTCAGGCTTCGTTCTTTGCGCTGTTCTCTTCAGGCCTGATACCATCATCATCATCATCATCATGTTGGCGATCATGTCCAGATTTGTTTTTTGCTAAGTCTTGTCTTCATCCCCTCCAAAAAAAGATCGCTCCAGGCATGTCTCCTCCCCGGATCCGGCCAAAGGCAAGCGATGACGCCACTACCTTTTCAGTGGCACTCAACTCAGAAGGGTCGTTTTCTTCGGTAAGCTCTTGCGCCTAATGGCTTGTCGTGCCTCGTGCCAAACAGCAATTGGCAAGAAGATTCAAGGGACGCGAAAATATCAAACACATAACAGCTTTTGATGCAAAACAGGCTCCCACCTTCTCTCCCATTAGCCTGTGCGTCGCCAAGAGTATCTGTACCCCTTGCGATTAGATGCAAACGATCTTTTCAAAGCACTCACTCACTCACTGATACGCAGCTCCACAAGGCGCTGAGCGTTGCTCAACTTCGGGAAAGGATTGCAGCCATCTGTTATCAGAGGCTGAGGAGATCTGCACAAAAGATGGGAAAAACTTTTGGCTACACCACTGCCGCATCGAGCAAGTAGACTGAAGGGTCCCAAAAGCGCTTGTGTACAAGAATATTGGAGTTGGGGTTCAAGGAAAGTTGGATAGGGTTTAGGGATCGTAGATAACGGTCGTTTTGCATTATAACTGACTAGCATCCTTTACAATGTCACTTCGTCGGCAACATATTCGATGACATATTCGGTGAAACTTTCGGTGATAATTGCCGAAACCTTCTCACTGAAATGATTTCGTAGGCTTAACGACGACGTATTCGATGACATATTCGATGACATCTTCGGTGAAATCTTCGTTGATTTGTTAATCGTAGTATCGCATTATCAGGTGGCTCTCCGGCTCTCCTTCAGGCTTCGTTGACCTTTTGTTTTAAAAGGGGTGTCGCGGCGCATGGCCGTGTCTGCTATTTCGTTCCAGAGCGCAGGGACGGTTTCATCGAAGCGTGCTTGAGGATGTAAAAAGGCATATGCTTCTACGAATGTGTCTAGAAGCAAAAGCACGCATCAACGGTACCCTTTGACACAATAAAGGACTTGTCGCAAGGAGTTCAGGTGGCAAGCAGGAGACGATCGTGGGGTCCATCGCAGAGAGTATGCCGATTGCAAACGAACTGACCAGTTCAGCCGTCAGACTCCATGCAGAAGAAGGTTGGTTAATGCATGGTCAAAGAGACTGGGACACTGTGCAAAGGTTTTGAGCCGAGAAACACGTCACAGTTCAGTTGTTCACCACAAAGCGAGCGTATCTCCGACAAGCTCTCATTATTCAAGGTACCGACGGTTTGCCTTAGAGGCGCCCCGTCATTCTTTCGTGATGCTTCAGACGCTCAGCTCGCACTCCCCTCAAGACAAAGTGTGTCAGAACGCATGTATTGTCCGGTCTGAGACCTCGTGATGCGATTGGCGAGATGTCATGTTCTGTTACCCATGTTGCTCATGTTGCACCCCCCGGGCGACGCTCCGTTTCAACCAAGAGAAGTTGCTCCTGGCTTCCACAAAAATGCACGACCCAGCTGCAACTGTCCGAGCTTCAGGCTAGATGCAGCAAAACGCGCAGCAGGATGCCAACGGTGCCTGCGCACAAAGTGCCGGGAAGCCTCCATGCACGTGCTATTGCGCGCGCTGCGACACAATCTGAGGAAAGCGCTTCCAATCCACATGCTCGCCGCAGGGATGAAGCATGGGAGTTGTTGCTCAAACTGTTGATGGAATGCAATCATCTGCTACATACAGAGACGTTGTTGCTTTCTTTCGCAGCCACAGGCCTGCATCGAGCTGAGCTGCACAGCAGGTTCGCTTCTATAACTATAACAGTCTTCGTATTGTGGTTGTCTGTTGACGACCGAGCCACGGTCCGCCAGCAAAGAGTTTCGCCTTCTGAAATCTGCAGCTTACAGAGCTGGCCTGCAGCCTTAGTCCGTGGCCACAGGGAAAGCCTTTTGGAAGCGCTTACTCGCCGGTCGCACCTGCGACGAATTTTGGCACCTACTCGACATCATCTCACTTTCACTCAACAAAAGCGAGCCAAAGGTTCACATGCGTCTGTTCTGTTCGGCAACCGCCTTGGGCAGCCCCATGAGTCGTCCCCAGCAAGCTTCTCTTCCACACAGAAGGCTTTGATCGCTTCCTGGTGCAGACACAGCGAGACGGAACATGCCAACAAAAGCGGCAACATGTATCACCTCAACCGAAACGCAGCGCAAACAACAGCAGAAACAGCTGCGGCAGCAGCACTGGAAATACGGAAGCCAGATCGCTGCGCTTATCAGCTAATCATTAATTGGTAGCATGCAGGCTTGTTTAAAGGCGCGTGAAGCAGCTTAAGTTTCGAAACCACCAGATTGAAACCATTGAAGCCTTGGTCAAGTATGCCGACGTGGGGACAGGCGGGTGTTGTGTCAGCGCTGCCTCAGTCAAGCAATCCCAATGTCTGTAGGTACGCGATCCACCGTCCCGGTTGATACTCGCGCCCGTTACAGAGCGGTCTATGTGGATGCACTAGTTCTGTGGAGCTGCTGAGCAAACATACTTGTTGATGTTTCCGTCCCCACTGCCAGGAATATTCAGGATTTGCAACCGGTGACGGATGCGGATAAAAATGTGTGTATGTATGTGCGTACGTGTGTATACATATATGTGTATAAGCACATATGTACATATCCACATATCTACATACCTACATATCTACATATGTATATATGTAAACAAATATATGTATTAATATACATATGGATATGTGTATATATATATATATATATATATATATATGTGCTTAAGTGTTTACATGTATGTATGAATATGTGCAGGTATGTATATACCTGCATATGTACGTATGTACATATGTTCATATGGCTATATGTATATATGTGAATATGTATTTATATAGGTATACATGCAAAAACATATGTACATGCGTATATGTAAATATTATGTATATATGTGGAGGGGCGAGCCCGTTGTGAGGGCCCACGTTGTGTCACAAGATAGGTTGGTTGCAAAAGTTGATGGGCATGGAGCAGTAGCGTTCGCTTGTATCCTTGAGTAGTTAAAGTCAGGTTTCGACCTGTGCATTGTCAACCTCGGTTATACGGACTGGCTACTTATTCAGGCTTCTTCCTAGGCAGGAAACACCGTTCATGCCGTGTAATTGATCCAGGCTTTATCAAACCAAGCCCTGGGGTAGGTCACATAATCTCGCCATGTTCCTTATGGATGCGTAAATCCTACCCTGCCAACCCCTGCAAGATTATTCATCCTATCAGACCAATCCACACAACACCAGAACACAACACATCACCATGTTTGACCGCTTGATGGCGCTCATGTACTGACTCAAGCTAATTATTTGGAAAAGTACTCAGGATTCGACGTACGTGTATATAGCATTCTTTAGTGTGAATGTCCACACATATACGTGACTTCAACAAATAACTAGTTCGCATGCATCACTGTCAAGGGGTCAAGGACTCACCGCTGCATGTAGTTGATAAATTTCACACTTGTCTTAGCTGGCTCGAACCAAGATTGAACAGGTGTTCATGCCCTGCGAGCTGCTGCAGTTACTAACGTTCTGGTTCCCCACAATCCCCAACCCAAAATACCAAGCATCTGGAATGCTGCCGCTGAAGACTCTTTCGGGGAATGCCGTAAAAAAGTGCAAAAACTCTTGTGGTCCATGCCCTGGCATGCTTCATTCCCGCCTTTACCCATACTTGAAACCTTCTCGGTTTGATATACAACCCCTTCACATAACTCTGGCCCTCTATGGTTTGTGTTTGTTTGTCATGGAAACTGGACCTCTCAGCTCAATATGTAGCTACAGCATTTGTGCATACACGGGAGGACAGGCACACAGACACATCTGCACTGCTCCACAAAAGTAAGCCATGTGGTTGTAAACAGCACATAGTTGTTTATACGCACGGCCAGGTGCTTTGAAACCCACATGTGAAATGCTGCGCATTCCACTGACGGCTCAATTGAAGCGTGGCCATTGTCGCCCTCGCCACTCCGTGAAATCGAAGACACTGCAGGATACTACAGGCAGCCTCGGAAACGAGCTCTGCAGACCCTTCTGGCGCCTCGATGTGCACCCTTCTGCCGCCTGCCGTGCTGCACTACCGGCCCATGCACATGCTACACACACCTCGCAACGTCCATTGCTGCAGGCTTCAGAGAGCTACACAAATTGCCAGCACTGCGGGAAACATGACTTGGCATAGGCAGCGACAGGAAGAGGAAAGGATCCTGTCATCATTAGCACACGCATTCACTGGCGTACATCGCGAGCCCCAAGCGGTCGCTAACACAACAAACATTCGTGGTGCACGAAAGTGATGGAGGCACAGCCGCATTCACAGCACTGAACCTGCCAAGGACTATGTGCAACAGTCAGGATTTCCCAACCAAATCAAAACTTCTCTGACATTGTGGCTCTTCGGATGCCTCTGCTGATTGCAAATCTTCACTATCGGCCTGCGACCGCAGCTGCCCTTGGCAAAGGTCGATGACAACGGAGCGGTGTTGTTGGAGGTGCAGGTACCAAGCCTGTCACCATACACTCCTCAGCTCGGATTGAGCTCCCTGTTGCCGCTGTTGCCCCACCTCCGCGGCCAAATGCTCTTCACTGCAGGCATCCTCACTGCGGAAGCTTTGTGGAGCCTGTCCAGCTTGAACGTCAACGCTCGAGCTTGGGAGGTTCGACACCGGCATGCGGCCTTGCACTCGGAACGTTGACCACGGTTCCGGTTCAGGTCCTCTGAGAGCTCTTCAAAGCTCTGCGACTAGCATCTGCGAGCTACGAGTCTCAAGTCCTCATGGATAGCATCAAGAAGGAATGCTATGACCTGCAGGTCTGGGTTTCGCCGGAAGCCGCTGCGAAGGTGTGCTCCCACCTCCTGGGCATCTTGTTGCAATCCAGGCCTCGCGGATTTGGGAGAACAGAGCCACAGAGCTGCAGCACTTCCTCAGCTTCGCTTTGAAGGACTTAGCTCCGAGCTGCTCGGCCACCAGCGTGCAGTGCCTCGCTCGGGTAGGGAGACGGAGAGGAGACATCGACTCATCCGAGAGCCACTGCACGCTTCATTCTACGTTGCTGCTATGGCGGTGCTACGCTTCAGCCGTTTCAAGCTCCCTGCTTGCACAGCGTGCGGTAGAAGGCCTGATGCGGACATGTCCGGCGAGATCCAACACTTGCCTCTATCTTTGCAACCCGATGGAAACTCCGACCTCGGGCGAGAATGTAGAATGGGCGTGCGGTGACTTGTTGCCTTTCTCTCCTTCAGGCGGTCGCTGCAGATCCAAACGATTCCAAGATTCAGTTTCCTGTTTATGGCCTGAAGAAGCTGCGTGTCAGCGGCACCAACGTCAAGGGAAAAGGAACAACATTCTGAATCATAGCGATATTCGCCGGCAAAGCTGACCTGCCTTCCGCAAAAAGCTTATGAAGCAGCTGCGCAAAGGCTGATGCCACTTCCTGGCAAGGATCATGTCTTCTGACGTCAAGGTGATTCGTTGGAGGACCTGCTCAGCGAAACGGCCGGATTATTCCGGGGCTGTCCGCGTACAACCTGCTTATGTGGCTCCTCATTCCGAAGTATGTGAAATAGATGATCAAGACATGAGTTTGGAACGTGTGGCGCTCATGGGGCTTTAAAGACGATCGTTCGGGTCACACTTCTGACGAAAGCCTGTCAAGGACCTTGCGGCTACGAAGCGGCCAACGGCTCCCAAACACACAGTGCTCTATCGCGCACCATCCGCATGCATTCTGCTGACCTTTCGCGGAGTGCCACGTGTGATTTGTTTTGTTTTTGTTGATGAACGTAGCAAGTAGTAAGGAGTAGGTATTAGATAGTGGGTCGTAGGTAGTAGGCAGCAGGGAGTAGGCAGTATGCGTAGTATGTAGTGAGTAGTACGTCGTAAGTCGCAAGTCGTACGTAGTCAGTAGTAGGAAGTAGTATGTAGTGAGTAGTAAGTAGTAAGTAATGGGTAGTACGTAGTAAGTCGTCAGTAGCCTTCAGTAGCTATAGTTGTAGTAAGTAGTAGATGGGGGCGGTGGGGTTGGTGGGGTGGTGGGGGGTTGTGTGCGAGGGATAATGACAAACGTGGCAGCCGCAAACAGAGCGATCTGCTTGCGATTAGACGACGCGAGTCAGCCATGGCCAAGAAGAAGTGTGTTGGTGATGTTGAGTTGATCGTTGTTCTACAGTTTCTCAGGCTCAAAGGTTCCGTTCTCTCCATACTCTGCACTGCTACTCCCCACAAGTGTTCACTGCGTATTCCTCTGTACTGTTCCGGGGCTGGGCGGCTTGTAGCAGTCGTGGTAGTGGTGCTCGAAGTAGTCGTAGTTGTAGTAGTCGTCGTCGTAGTCATCGTGGCAGTGGTGGTAGTAGTGGTAGTGGCAGTGGTGGTGGCACTGGTGTGGTAGTGGCAGTGGCAGCGGCAGTGGAGCAATAGCAATAGCAGCAGCAGTAGTAGTAGTAGTAGTAGTAGAAGTAGAAGTAGAAGTAGTAGTAGTAGTAGTTGTTGTTGTTGTTGGCAGCGCGTGCGTCTGCCGCCGCACGTGCTGTTGTTGTAGTTTGAACAGCAGAAGTAGCAGTAGTCGTCGTCGTAGGTACATACGTACGTAGTCCGAGTCGTAGTAGGATAGGAGTAGGAGTAGGAGTAGGAGTAGGAGTAGGAGTAGGAGTAGGAGTAGTAGGAGGAGAAGGAGTACGAGTAGGAGTAGGAGTAGGAGTAGTAGGAGTAGTAGTAGTAGTAATAGTAGTAGTAGTAGTAGTAGTAGTAATAGGAGTAGTAGTAGTAGTAGTAGCAGTAGTAGTAGTAGTAGTAGTACTAGTAGTAGTAGTAGTAGTACTAGTAGTAGTAGTAGTAGTAGTAGCCGCCACGGCTCAGACGTTTTGGAAGTTCGCGCTGGCTGTCGAACAGGCTCTGGATTCCAACCTTGCGTTGCTAGAGGTCTCAAACAGGCTTCTCTCCGAACGACTACGGGTTGGTTTCCTCCCGCTGAGCCATGTGCCATGTGCCAACAGTTTGCGTCTGAGCCGCCAGGTCCCAATTCCTGGACCCAGTACCCTGTCCCAACACGGGCCCACTGGGCAGGCGGTAGGGTTTCCACTAGCCGCGTGGTGGAGGGAGTCACTCGGCTTGCCTTGTGACGAAATAGCGGATGGCGCTGCTCCCAGTGCACTCACAAAATTATTCTCAGATCAGGAAGAATTCTTTCAAGCATGTTTGCCGAAAGGTGGTTGCAAACCAGCAGCCCGTTTCCTACCGAGGTCAGGTTCTGACCCCAGCTCTTCAAAGGCGCATGGGCAATTGCCCACCGCGGCCAGGTTCCACACAGTCTTTTGCACCACGATCTAGAGCAGGACAGGCCACCAGGCCTCTCCGAGTACTGTCTTGGAATGCAGGCCATTTAGGCCAGCAACAATGGTCGGAAGTCAAATCATGGCTCTCCACTGAGGCACGTCACACCTGTGATGTTTTTGTGCTGCAGGAGACCCACTGGCAGGCTACGGCCGAATTTAGTGTTGCAGGCTGGTACTGCATTTCGTCTGCCTCTGCTGCAGATCCGAAGGCCTCTAGACGAAAGCAACGCGGGGGCAAAGCCCACAAACAGCTACCTGAAGAGGCAATGCCTAATGACGTCAAAACCAATCCGCCCCGAAAGGAGCCCTCGACGACTCGTGCGGACGGGGTTATGGTCTTCCTGTCTCCACACAATCTCCCCAAAGGTGTGCGCTGGCAGGAGCACGTCATAGGCAGAGCCCTGGAAGTCAGGTTTGACTGGCACGGGGCCCGCATCCACCTGATTGCCGTGTATCAACACGTATGGTCACCGGCCAAGCAGGTGCAGGCCAATCGTCAGGACAGGGCACAGGTCCTGAAAGCTCTTGGCAGATGTGTGCAACGCGTGCCCCACAGAGACACGCTCATCATAGCAGGTGATTTCAACAGCTCCTTGCAAAAGCAGCCCAGGCTGGTTGGTCCCGGGCTCATCAGTCCACAGGAACCGCGACCCGATGAACCAGAGCTAACAAACTTTTTGCTAAATCACCGCTTGGTGGCTCTCAACACGTGGCGACCTCAGCTGACATTTACGTTTCAACAAGGGGACACGCGCACTCAAATAGTTTTTTTGCTTACGAGAGAGGTGTCAGCTGGAGGCACTGCCAAGGCCTCCACACCACTGGCGGATTTTCCGCTGGGCAGCTGGAAGAAAAGTGGGCACCTGCCCATCAGTGCGACTGTCAAGCCAGTAAGGCACTGGAATCTGCCGCTTCCTCAGATACAGACACATCAGTTCGACGCCGCTGCCCTGCAAGCGGCTGTTAGGGACAACACGCTGCCAGCTCAGCAAATGCTCGCGTGGGTCAAAACACGTCTAACCCCGGACATGCAGCCGGCGTCTTGGGATCGCCTCCTTGGCGAAGCCACATCTAGGTTCTTCCCTAAGACCCCGGTGGCAATGCCAGATAGTCCGGAGACGCGTATTGCCAGAAGAATGTGGCGATCTGCGCGAGGGAGCAATGCTCATTCCGGTGCTGAATCTGCTACAGCCGCTGATGCCTGCCGGTTGCTGCATGACCAGCATAAACTGGCGGTTAAGCAGTCACGCAAATACCAAACCAAGCGATTCCTTGCTGAGGTGGACCAGGCTCTCAAACAGGGAGATCAACACCTGGCCTATCAAACTCTCAAGCACCTTAGACCGTGGAAACCGGCTCTGAAAGCTCAGCTTAAGGATTCGAATGGCTTCCTGCTCAGCCCGGCAAATGAACTTGCGGAGCTGGGAAAGTACGCCACCCAGGTATTTGCAGCACACCCACCGCTTCCTTCAGACTCGGGGCTTCTGCCTCCTCTGCCACGGGCCACAGACCAAGTTGGCAAAACATATTGCTTCAATTAAACCTGGCAAGGCAGTTCCGAAAGGGGCAGCGCCGGCCGCAGCCTGGAAGCTCTGCGCTCAGCCGGTATCAGAGGCGCTTTCACAATACTGTTCAGGCCTGGCGCAAGACCAGTCACTCGACGATGATCTGACTCGCGCGGATCTATGCTTGATCCCCAAACCGGGCAAGCCGGCTGACAAGCCTTCTCAGCTAAGGCCGCTGGGCATACTCCGGCCGGACGCTAAAGGACTGGCGGGCACGGCAAAGGAACTCCTGGAACCTCTCACGCTGCCGTACATGAAGCCTCTTCCTCAGTTTGCGTATCTCCCAGGGCGCGGCCTTTCTGATGCTCAGAGCAGAGTGGTACAACACCTGAGGGAAGCTAGGCAGCTGTGTCGCAATGCGCACCTCACCAGAGCGGATCAGCAGCGGGGACAATGTCCTGTCGGTCTCGTCGGAGGCATCACCTTTGCACTTGACCTGTCACAGGCATTCGATACTGTCTCCCGTAGCGAAATCTTGTCTCTGCTAGATGAGCTAGGCGCGGATCCACCCCTGCAAAAACTGATACACGGCCTACATCATCGATCCAAGCACAGGCTCCATTCTCAAGGGGCATACAAGGATGTGGAAACTACCACGGGCATCAAACAAGGCTGCAAGCTGGCCCCCACGTTGTTTTCAGTGCTAACAGGCCGCCTCCTGCACAGGCTGATAGGCACATTTGGCTGGGACAATGTCCGCAAATACTTCACAGGGTACGCGGATGACTTCACCATGCATCGCACCATCCGCAACAAAGCGGACGTGGACGCAGCTCACAAGATGATCCTTGAGCTTTTGTCGGAGGTAGCGAAACTAGGCCTGCGAGTCAACCCGACCAAATGTGCCATTCTCGTCAAGCTCAGCGGCAGAGAGGCCGAGGCCACGCTCCAGAAGCACACCTGCTGGCTCCCTGACCAGGACGGAAAACTCCAGAGGCACTGGAGACTGGGCAAACACAAGTCCTTCCCCGCCTACAAGCTTGAGACGCAACTCAAGTACTTGGGCATTCAAATTTCCTATGGGAATTTTGAAATGCAGACGTTGCGATTCCGTATAGCGGAAGCGGCCAAAAAGCTCCAGCAGGTTAAGCGTTTTGTTTACAACCGCAGAACCGCGGGGCCAATGGCCAGACTGAAGGTCTGGTTCACTACTGTATGGGCTACCTTGGTCACGGGACTTCCCGAACTCACGGAGGAGACAGCCAGGCATCTCAGAGGTTGGTACGCGCACAAGCTACGATCCGTGCTAAATCAGCCTGTCCACGTCAGCCACATCTCAACAGCTGACCTGTACCAGCTATATTCGATTCAGGACCCGGTAGCTAAAATCCAAGCTCGGATGGCTTCCAGACTCAGACGGCTGTGCAAACGAACCGACATCCCAACCCCCGAGGCCGCCACTTCCGCCCAGCCGGAGAGCACTCCCAGTGCACCTACGGTGCAGCATGGCCCATGGGCCAGGCTGCGCTCCTCAGCGTCGGACTCGGCTACAGGCCCACACCTTTCTGCAACAGCTGTGCAGGGTGATGTCACGCGCC